TTTTATGCTCAGCAACATATTTGTCAACTTAGGGATTTGGACAATGTCAAAATTACCTTGATACGCATCTTAAAGACGTTCAACGCGTGGATGCAATGTCCACAAGCAAGGCCGCAGAAATAGCGGCATCAGAACCTTACTCTGCGGCAATTGCAAGTGTCGTTTGTGCCGAATTATATGGATTGGACATATTAGAGAAGGATATACAAGATGCAAAAAGTAATATTAAGATCTTTTGTGTTCTTTTAATCGTTTGCTTTTTTTTTAATTAACGAAATGTCAAACATTATTGTTATGTAAAGTCAATATCACGCGATTTTTCATCCTTGGATCTTCATCTGATATACCTTCCGATGATGATAAGACTTGCATACTTTTTACAGTGGATCACCGAAAACCTGGGGCGTTGTGTGACGCATTAAATAGTTTTAAAAGCCAAGACGTTAATCTGATAAAGATCGACTCACGTCCGTCTTTACAACGACCTTGGCATTATGTATTTTTTATTGAAATACAAGGACATAAAGAAGATGAACAAGTTCAGAAGGCATTAAGTCAACTAAATGAATGCTGCTTAGACGTTAAATTATTAGGAAGTTATCCTAATCAAAGACCAGTTAATATATAAATATATATTTATAGAATACTATAAGTTAATTACTTTAAAAGGGAGGTGGGGGAAAGCAAAATCGTTTAATACAGGAAATGATCGGCAAATTAGCTGAATCTTGAGAAATTGTTAACGACGCGTTTTTCGCCTTTGTTTGTGAATAGTAGTTATAGTAGTTATATAAGGTAGTAAAATAATGGATAAATGACAATAAAGCCTTTAAAAAGTTTTTATTTATTAAAAGCTAATTCAAAATAGACAAAAAAATTTATGATAGAATTTTAAACATAAAATAATGTAACAAATTCAAAGTTTCCAATGTAGAAATGGTCAATGGTTAACCGACGTCTTGATTCTTTCATAGAACTTTCTTGAAGAAGAAATTAAGTCTCTCACAAGTCACAAATGGCGATGCAACTTAAAGACAAAGTGGGTAAATTGATATCATTATTTCGCCTGCCCATTATATACCGTTAACATTTGTTCCCATAGGTTTCCGAAATTATCCGTCACTTAGCCCAGAACAAGAATTACATCGTATACGGAAATTGGTTATGTCGACAACGAGAGAAAAACGAAAAGTGCCACGAGTGGCAAAGTCAAGAACCACTCAAGAATTATCTTACGGTAACTCCAAGATTAAACGATTTTTTCAGCCAGAAATGCGAGAAATGCGATAAAAAAAAGATGATTTCGAGTTTTCGCCTATATAAGCAACAAAAAAAATTGGATGTGGTCCCCATTGACGTAGGTCAAATTGATTACGAAATTTTCAATTTTCACATGATTTCTTGTTAAAATTTTACCTTTATAGAAAATGCCCCACATCGAGATTTTTTGTCATCTAGAATGGAGCAATCATTATAGAGTATTTGGCAAATGGAAATGTCGGCATTGCAGCAATAAGTGGAGAAGCGCTCATACCTGGATATCTCTTCAAAAGTTTATAGAGAAAACCCCAGGAAAGCGTTTGAGTCTAGATGATTTTTTCATGCAAAAATGCGTGAAATGTTTTAATACGAGCCGCATCCTTAATTACAACCCTCTATTAAATTCATCTTATGAGAAAGATGATGATGTCAAACCTCATTTAGCTGAGTTATGTGCAAAGTGTATGAGTGGTCATTACTGTAGAGAAGCTGATATAGATCATATAGATTAGCAAATTCGATAATGAACTTTGATAAAAGTTTTTTTTATATAAATAAATATATACTTTTGTTATAATTCAAGTAATTTCAAAATTTTTTATATACTAAAATTTTAAATAAAAAAAATTCGTAACATTTTTAAAGTTAAAAATAATATAAAATATGTATTATGTGATTTATTATATAATATTTATTATATAATATTGAGATAAATTAATATTTTTTTATATATTAGAGTAAAAAAAAACAAATTCTATATTTTATTTATTTTATTTTAAAAAAATTATGATAAAAAAGATTTTCCTTTTTGGTTTTAATATAATCAATAAATTAAATTTATTATTATAAAATAATATTCATATAAATATTATAAGGATAACTTAATTTTAATTATAATAATAATTTTTAAAGATATTCTTATATATTATATTATCTTAAATTATATTTAAAATAATAAAAAAGTATTAAAATTTAAATTGGTTATTTTTTATTTTTTATAAGAATATTTTATAATGATTTGATTAAATAAATTTAAATATAGATTTATATTTTTTAAAAAAAAATATTTTATCTTATAATAAATAATTTTTATTTTTAAGTTATTACTTTAAATAAAATTTTTAATGCATATACTGTATTCTTCCATTTTTAAACATCATCTTTTTAGGAGAAAATTTTTGTGAAAGTTTAGGGTGATGCTTAAAACAAAAGTTTTTTTTTTACGCTTTTAGTCATATTTGTATTAGTTATTTTTTAGCCTCTTAATGTAATATTAATGTAATTATTAAAAAAGAATTTTTATTCTTTTTTTTAAAAAACTTTTTGAATTTTTTTTGAAAGATTTTTTATTCTTATGTATAAAATTTTTTTTATGCTTTATAATTACGATAATCCATTTTACTCTTATTTTTTTTCTCATACATGATGCTAAAAATTCAAAAGTTATCATATTTTATAAATGAGAAGCTTAAAATTTTATTATATGCAAAAGAATGTAGTTAAAGAGCAGCTGTGCAGAATTTTTTTATTGATCACTTAATGATTTTATGTTGAGAAAAATATGAAGGTAAACTTAAGTCAGCAAATGAAAAAACTGTCGCATTAATATAGGAAGAAAATCACAATAGAGTTCTGAAAATAACTTGTATAAAACTTGCATATTTGACTTACATGATTGTGTATAATTGTAAATTTTAGTTATACATAATAAATAAGTACTTTAAATTAAAGGTATGTAGGATAATTTTGACTTAAAACTCAACTCAACTTGACTCATTAGGAACACTAAATCACAATATCTTAAAGCTAAAACTAGTTTAAAAACATGAGTTATAGAATTTTGAAAGGATGGTATTACTGTAATTCCTAAGATGATTAAAATTTATATGAAGAAAATTTTGATAAAAGAGTTTGCTCATATTTATTTAAATAGTAAAAATTTTCTTACTTCTGATCATTAATTTTATAGTTTTCTTAAACAAAGTGGATTTTTATTGTGACATAAAACAAAAATTGACCAAAAATTTCCTGTTTAACTTAATGAAAAACTCCTAGAATTTTAGCAGGTTATTATTAAAAAAATAAAAATAATTTGAATATGAACTTTACGAAATTGGCAATATAGATAAAACACCAGTTTATTTTGATATAATTAAGAGTTTAATTATTGAAAATTGTAGCACTAAATCTGTGCAGGTTCAGACAACTGAAAATAAAAAATTACTTTATATGTGTTTTTACAATTCTTGCTAATAGTATGAAGTTATCATTAATTGTCATCTTTAAAGATAAACAAAATGCCAAAAAATTTATCTTCTGGAATTACTGTAATAATGTATCTAAAAGGATGGATGGATGAATTTGAGATGAAAACCTAATTCAATAAGGTTTGGAAAAAAAACCAGGAGGAAATAAAATTAATAAACAAAATCTCTTCTTGTTATAGATAGTTTTGAAGGTCATAAACAAATACTATAAAAAATATTATGCGCAGTAAAAATACTAATTTAGCAATTATTTTTGACAATCTTACTTCTATTATTTAATCACTTGATGTTTATCTTAACAAACTATTTAAGGATAAACTTTGTAAAAAGTGAAACATTTGGATGAGTTCAGATCAATTTTCTTATACTAAAAGTAGAAATTTAAAAAAACCTGGGTATGATATTATTTGTAAATAAATACTTGAAGTTTGAATAGAAATTCTAAAAGAAATATTTGTAAAATCATTTAAAACTGTAGTATTAATAATACAATAGATGGGTCAGAAGATGATTTGTTTGGATAGGATGAAAAAAGGAGGAAATTGATGAAATGAAAGGGAAATTGTAGATATAGATAGTGATTCAGCTGATGAATTAGATAAATTGTAAAAAGATGCATTATAAAAATAAATTTATTTTGAATAAAATATAAAATATGATAAAAAATTTTCGAATTTGTGGTGATGTTTATTTTTGTTTTTCAAGTTTTTTTGACAAAAGTCAGGGTGATGCTTAAATTTAAATGGTGTTTAAAAACGGAAGAATATGATATATTAATAATATTATAAAAGAAAATTTTATCTTTTAATTATAATTTTTATAATATAATAAACTTCTAGTTTAAATATGTATCTTTTATAATGTTTATTAATAAATATTTTTAAGTTTTATAAATAAAAAATTTATATAATCTCTTAATTATAATACATTTAATTACATAATATTTTATTAATACACTTTAAACCATATAATTATTTTGATTATAACAATTAATAAGTATAACATCATTAAGAATTATAATAAGAATAATAAGCTGTTAATATATGATGATTACTATAAAAAGGAAGCTGTAAAACTTGCCGCAGTAATGACGAAATTTTAGATTCTTACGCCATATTATAGAGTCTATCTATATATATACATCGGTTGATAATTACAACAGCCATTACGCATAATATCTGTAATCTGGGTTCTATTGTAAATTGGCGTTTTTATGGTTTCAAATAGTCAGGTTTTTTTTTTTTTTTTATAGATTTTTCGTTGTTTACATTTGTAAATAATGTAAATAAACAAAAAATTTAAATTATATTTTGCATTGTCTCCTTTTTTTGAACTAGAAATCCAAGCAAAACCGTGAAAAACCGATTATTTAAAATCAAGAGGAAAAAAAAAAAAAATTTTTATATATATGGTTTTTTTTTTTAATCAGATTGTTAACATTCGATCATCTTCCAATATTACTGTATCTTTGAAATGCTGATAAAGAGCGAAGTACATTTTTATGATGATGGAGATTGTGAATTGGTCGTAGGAAATTTATTGTTTCGAGTTCACAAAATCATCCTAGTTCTTTCTTCAGCATTCTTTAATGGAATGTTTTCAACAGCTCAACCTTCAAAGGAAGAATTAATAACTATATCACAAACAGGTAGAACAGTTGCACGTATAGAATTGCGTGATGATGCTGCCAAAGATATTGAAAAATTACTTTCATTCATTTATCCAAATATATTTTTCGAAATAAGTTGGGAAGATGTAGAAAATCTTTTACGTTTGGCTGATAAATATATTGTTGAAACGTTAACGTCGGCTTGTGTAGCGTTTCTCAAAAGATCCTATCAAGAAGAACCTTTACAAGCTTTAAAATTAGCCGAGACTTATTCTATTTCAACTGTGTATAAAGAGTCATCAAAATTAGTTTTAGATAAATTTGAGCATTTTGTTTATGATTCGAATAATCTTGAACAATTATCAAATCAAACTCAAAAGAAGTTAAAGGTTTCTAGACAACAATATGTTGAAGGTTTAAATAAAATATTTTGCGTTACTGTAGATAGAAGGTTCCCTCCTTTAGCTACTGATCATTTAAGGACAAAATTCGAGGAATGCGTTAAAGATATTTGTACCTTTCCTTTTCAATCACCCAGTTATAGTTGGATGAAGTTACATCAAGTGGATTGTAATCGTCATTTTGAATGTAGAGAAGAATTGAGAAGATTAAAACCTTTTATCAATGAAAAAATTATTGCTTTCTTTGGTTGTAAATACGAATCGTTGGCTTGGTCTCGTTCACCTTCTTTTGAAACAACTGAACCTTGTTATCCTTTTATTGAATTACGCGATGATTATTAACGTAAAACTTGGTCATGTGGATTGAATAAATTAAGATTGATCGAGGAGTGAGATTAAGGGGAACTTTTTTTATTTAGATCATGAACTATTGATTGAATATCTTTGAAATCACATTAAATTACTTTCATATATTTCGTCAATGAATAAAAATAAAGAACTAACGTTGGTAAATATTTATCTTTCAAATCAGATTTCCTATCACATGTATTGTTATACAACATACGAACATCCGTCATCATTTTTATGATCGTGATGTAGATCCAATTGGTGAAGAGGCTTATTTCTTTTATATAAATTTCTTTATATATAGGTATCACCACATCATCCCAAAAAAAAAAAAAAAAATCTTTATGTTTAGTCTCTTTTGTATCGTTACTCTTTATTTAAAATTTGCATTATGAATACGACTCCCGCGCAAGCTGTCCTCCTTAACGCAGATTTATTACCCACAATTTTATCTGATTTTGATGAGAATCAGGATGAAATGTTCCTTTACCTCTTTGTTAATAAAACATGGACCGCGGTAATTCTTATAGCCAAATTTTTATTTCTTTTTATTAATTATTTATTTCTTTGCTATTTTTGATCCTTTTAACTGAATCTCAAATTTATTTTTTATTTTTTTTTTTTTTTTAAAAAAAAATAAATAAATATAAAATAAAATAAAATAGACCCTTGTGAGACTATTATGGAAAGCTCCAATTTGGAAATCGCCTCGCTCGTATAAATTATTCTTACGAACATTGCGAAAATCAAATACCATTTTTGCATACGGCCAGCTGATACGTAGACTTGTATTTGAGCCAATAAAGAATAGAGAACAACCATTATTTGGGAATGATGATCTTAAACTTTTCTCAATAAAGTCCCATAGAATAACTCATTTGACATTAGGGCAGACAGACAACTTTTTTACGGCGGAAGCGGTGGCTGAACTTGTCAAAAACAATCCAAATTTATTGGGTTTTGCAGCAACAAAACCATGTTATAACATTGAATGGTTAAATATAGCTCTATCACCTATAATCAATGGACATTGTTTAAAATTAACACAACTTGAAATACAAAATATGCGACACTTTTTGATATTTATGAATTATTGGCCGAATGGAGATTATTCTGATGACGCAGTTTCCCAAACACGTCACTTGATTAAAGAGATTGGTGTTAAATGTCCCATTTTTGCATTAGACATTAATGTTCATATAGATGACGAAATGGCAGAGATGTTAATAGAAACATTTAAGAATTTAAAGATCCTTCATTGTGAGACAGTGTCATGTTCAGCATTAAAAATTCTTTTACCTTTTTGTAAGAAGTTGAGATGGTTATCGGTAGCATTTTCCGAATATCCTGATAGTAATGTTCAACGGGAGATTGGTTCACAATTTCCAAGTTTAGATGCTTTGAATTTATTTCTCCCTCCATATGATTGGGCATCATTTACGAAAGCTTTGGCTCCAAATCAGACTAACCTTCGACGTATAAACTTATTTGGATGTGATTCAGTTACCGATGAAGCATTTTTACCGATTGCCGAGTGTTGTCTAAGGTTGGAATTTGTTGGCCTAATTTGTTGTCAACAATTAACTGATGTGTCTGTCTCCGCTTTGGCTCGTAATGTTAATAATAACCTTAAGAATATCAACATGTGCAGGATTCCAAAATTAACAGATGCAAGTATAATAGAGATTGCTAATAATTGTCATAATTTAGTGAAATTTGGATTAGATAATTGTAGAAAGGTCACTTCACGTTCCCTAACATTACTTGTACGTAAGTGTAAATTCCTTACAGAGTTGAGCGGTGATTATCCTCGTATCATTGCAGCAAAGATTGTTTCAACATTAGCAACGCAGGGTAATACAAAATTACAAGTTTTGCAGATTCATAGTAGACATGATCCTGAGACAAATACGGTTGAGGGAAAGAAATATCGAAGATTTGATTTGGGATTGTTGGAAAAACTTGCAGAGAAATGTCCAAAATTGAGAGAATTAGAACTTAAATGTTATATCACAGGTTTATATCCGAATGTAAGTAACGTTTCTTATCATCATATCAATTTATGTTCATTCTTTTTTCTTTTAACTTCATTAACGTTACCTTTATCATATTCATAGTCGTTAATAAATGTATTATATAAATTACGTAATTTGGAGAAATTATTCATGGAACCCAAACAAAATTTAACCCGTGAACATATAATGAAATTAGAAAATCATCCACGGTTAAAGGAAGTTAGATTTGAAGGAGGATGTAGTGAAGATGCTATGTTATATATAAAAGAACGTAACAAAAACCGAAAAGGAATGTTTATACACGTAAAACCTACATATTAGGTTTTTTTTTTTTTTTTTTTTTCTCGTTACTTTTTAAAAAAAATCTAAGTAAGATATTTAATGAATGTTAAGAGAAGAATTTTCATGATTACTTGGTTAAATTACTTTGGAATTATATGAATCATATATAGAGAACATTATTTCTTTTCGGAACAAAAAAAAATTATTTACTTATTTATTTATTTATCTATTTTATAAAAAGGGATCAGGTTGAATTGCAGGCGCAAAATAAGTTTAAGGATAATATTAGATATTTCTTTTTCGATATATCCTTTTTTTTTTTTTTTTCTTTTTTGGTGATAATAGTTAAACTTTTACGCATTGATTGCTAAAGGTTCTAGATATGTTAGAAACATCTATTACATTTTTTTAACATTCTTTTTTTTTACTTTTTTTTTAAAAAAAAAAAATGCTATTTATTTAGTTTTTTGTATATACTGTTAGAAATCTGAAATTATTTAAATTATTAAAAAAAAAAAAAAAACTTTTAGCAGGATTGATTTATGTAAAAATGAACTAAATGTTGATGACTTGAGCAGTCGGATGTTCTCTGTTTTGTGTGATGACCTCAAAAAAGGTTAAAATGGACCGATAAAATTAATTTGTCTACTTGTGCTACTACTAACCTAATATTACATAATAAATATATATATATATATATTTTTTTTTAAAAAAAAAAAAAAAATGAATGAATGAAAATTTTCCTTTTTTTAGTCCCTAAAGATTATCCTAATTAGTCGCGTAAAAAAAAAATTTCCTGATATTACCATCCCAATAACCTAATATTAAAACGAGAATTATAACCTATTAAACGTTAATCACCAATTTTAACTATTAAATTTGTTCACTCGTCCGTCAAATTGATTGCCAAACAAATAAATTAATTAAATTAAAAATATTCCAATTAGAACTTATTTAAGCTGTAAATGATTGAAGTCCAGTAATAGCTCTTCCCAATATAAGGGCATGAATGTCATGTGTCCCTAATTATAATAAATCGAATATAACAAAAAATAAGAAAATAATGATATAAAAAACAATGAAACATGAATTGTTCAAAAATAGTTTACCTTCATAAGTATTCGTTGTACATAAATTCTGTTCATGTCTAATAATATGAAATTCATCACTGATACCATTGCCACCTAAAACATCTCTCATATTATGTGCAATTTCTAATGCTTTACCGCATGAATTACGTTTAATGAGAGAAATCATTTCAGGTGCTGCTTTACCTTGATCTTTTAATCGACCTACTTGAAGACAAGCTTGAAGGCCGATGGCAATCTGGAAAAGATCAAAAAAATTTTTGAAAAATATAGATAATATAACAAAAAAATACAAGAAATATCACTGAACCTCAGTATTAGCGTCAGCAAATTTCTTCTGAATTAATTGAAATCTAGCTAATGGCGTCCCAAATTGATGACGATTCAAAGAATATTCTCGAGCTTGAGCTAAACAAAATTCTGATGCTCCAAGAACACCCCAAGAAATACCATAACGTGCATTGTTCAAACAACCAAATGGACCCTATAAAGATAATTAGAAATGAGACATATTTCGAAAAAGAATTAATATAGTGTCAATTCTTACCTTTAAACCTACAACATGTGGGAGTAAATTTTCTTCGGGAACTTCTACATTATCCATCATAATCATTCCTGTTATGGAAGCTCGTAGAGACAGTTTACCTTTAATTATTGGAGCCGATAATCCTTTCATTCCCTTTATCATTATTAGAGAACCGAAAAATGTCAATCAGACTGTCAGAAAATTATTTAATTAATGTAATATAGTAAATATTTGGCGTACCTTTTCTAGTATAAAACCACGAATTTTTTGATTTTCTGTCTTTGCCCAAACAATAAAAACATCGGCAATCGGTGAATTTGTAATCCACGTCTTTGATCCATTCAAAACATATACGCCATTTCCCTTTTGTGCATATGTTTGCATACTGCCTGGATCAGAACCATGATTAGGTTCTGTCAACCCAAAAGCACCGACCAACTCACCCGATGCTATAAGAATTTAAAATAATGATTAAACGCGTTTTTTTTTTCGTTATAATAATGTATTGTAAATTATATAACCTACCTAACTTGGGTAAATACATTTGTTTTTGCTCCTCAGTACCGTAAGCATCAATCGGGTGCATAACAAGTGATGATTGTACACTCATAGCAGATCGATACCCGCTGTCTACTCTAAATAAATTAGAAATAGATCAAAAAATCAGAAACAATTAAGTAAATTTTTTTTTTATTTAAATACCTCTCAACTTCACGGGCAATAAGCCCATATGCAACTGAAGAAACGCCGGCACAACCATATCCCTGAATAGTAGATCCTAGTAAACCTATAGAACCCATTTCACTGAGAATTTCACGATCAAATTCTATCGGGTCATTTTTTAAACAAGAACTTTTTAGTATCTCAAATTATAAAATTAATGATTATAAATAATTACTTTCTTGCCGATAGGCTTCTAAAACTCGTGGAAAGAGTTTATCCTGACAATACTCTCGTGCAGAATTTCTAGTGTAAGAAAAAATTTAAATTATAACATAACGTAATATAGTATAATATGTGTTATATAAGTTACTTTATAGCTTTTTCTTCGTCCGTAAGTTGAGACTCTAACAAAAGCGGGTCTTCCCAGTCGTACCTTGGCACACCTAAATAAAAAAAAAATGAATTCATGACCACGTGAAAAATAAGCGAAAAAAAAACCCATACTTGAAGCTTTTGCTGACATATCCCTTAAAAACAAGCTTCGAGCATTTCTAACAAATGTTGGTCTTATTTGTGAAAACCCAACGCAAAACATTATGAATAATAGTTTAAGGAAAATAAAAGTCTTTACAAACTATTTATAAGCAAGGATTGTTTAAGATCATTACGCGCATATTTTAATATTTGTCAAGATCGCCAATGAAAATCAGGTTCTGAGAATTTTTTGAAAATTCTCAATTTCATTATTAAACAACTAGTTAATTTCTTAATATAGTCATAATTATAGCACGTAATAATTAATATATTGATCATTATCTATATGGTTTATATTCTAAATATAATATTTATTTATTTGTAATAAAGTAAATTAAACTTTTTGAGATATTGATTCAACTCAGTCATGTGAATATAAGGCTAGGAAAAGCACTTGATATTCGTTTTGACTATTACAAGAAAACAAATCCCAAAGGTACAGCCCAGGCATTGGTTAATGATGAAGTTCGAAAACAGCTTTCCAATATCCCCTGTCATGTCCACCATAACCACCATACTCACCATATCCATCGTTATCTGAATCCACTGGTATCTCTATTTCTCTCTTCGAATTCATCCTCAGAAATTTTCATCACTGCTCTCTTCGATTTGGGATTCGATTGCTGTGGCCAAGGGGAGTTCTAAAGGAATTAGTCAGCATCACTTACCTCAGCTTTGATTTCTTTTTCGACTCTGCTAGCAATGAGGCACTTAGGATGGAAAAGGAAAGGGCACTGTAGATTTATGAGCTGTTCGGTGACCGCGTGGTCAACATCTCGTAATGGCGCAGTAAATAATATTTCGCCTGTCATCCTGGATATTGTAATTGTAGTGAAAGTTTTAATCCTCTGAATGTTCACATTCTCTGTAATAAAATTTTTCGCGCCTATTATTAATAACGTTCGCCCATATCGGGCTCTTCGCTGGCTTTATTGCTAATGCCTTTTTTTTTGGTAAGAATCACGCGGGAAACTAAATTATCGTTCCGTTGCCATGTGATTTGGGAACAATGGTAATAAGCCATGATTAATCAAAGTTTGGCAACCTTGATTTATTGCGTCGTCATTAGATCCGCTCTAACAATAACTGTATTTTCCTTATAAAAACAGGCCTCCCAATTTTTTGATTTTTTCATATTCGGTCTATTTGGTCGTAATGACAAGAATCGGATATTACATTCTTCTCTGTTGCTGTTCGCCACTTTTAATAATTTTATTATTGACGTTTCTTTTTTCTTGTTTCTTCGCGGGAATATTACTTAGTCCAATTTGGCTAACCGTACTTTTAGTAAAACTTACGTATTTTGGACATAAATGGACAAGGTATTTTCGTCTTTCTTTTCCAAATCAACAAAATGCCGTGCTCACAAAGTATTTCTTAGGGAAAGCCACTTCGAAAAAATGAATTTATTTACTGAAAAAACGAAAAAACAAGTCGCTAAGTGGCGTGATTTTATTCAAAATAAACATAAGGATGATGACGATGAAATTGTTTGTAACGACCCATTATTAATCATTGAATATAATCAACCGGGACTCCTAAGCCGAAATATCACGGAAAATAACGTTGGAGCAGGTATAACCATAAATATTAAATAATTTATTTCAAAAGGCTTTTCTAACTTTATTTCTTGGATTAGTGATCAGAGGAACTCCATATTATACTCCTATCGCATATCCAAGGGCAAATCTGACACAATCAAATTCTTTATTCGCATTTAACGATATGCAGACAATGGAGGATGCTATCACACGATTATATGATACCTATCATAATGATGTTATAGGACGGCAAGTTCCTATTGTTGGACGAGTATATATAATAGAATTTCGCAGGGCCAATACATTTGAAGTTTTTGAACAAAACCATGTTTTTGATTAACATAGCCATCGTTTACTTTTCTATAATGATGTGTTGTAATATTAAAGTAGAGAGAAAGTAATCTTGATATTAGTAGTATTTTAATTCCGAGTATTAAATAAATAAAATAACTGCAACTGAATTATTTTCGCGGAAAATATGTTACTGAAAAAAATAATTACCTGTTTAGTAAAATATAGAAGTATTTAAATTTTGTTTATTTAATAAGACTCAATTCCCAAAGATGTTCTGGAATAACTACATATGGATCTTCATAGTACCAAACATACATAATTCTTTTGAATTGATCCCGCATTATTCGCTTCTCAAAACTTCCTCATTCTGTGAAAGTGTTTTACGTGTTGCTCATGTTGTTTACCTTGTACTTCAATGGAAAATCTATACTGCGGATAGTAATATCAAGCTCTAATTCCTCGAGGACACTGGTGTTTTTACCAAGAATTTTAGTTATGACTTCGCGACATAAGCTTTCGTGTTTATTTAAAAGCACCATGTCTTAGAGTGCTTTATACAATTAAAACTCGAAACCCTTATTACATTGGAACATAGAGATTTCTATATTCCATAGAAGACACGAGCACTGCTTGGACAAAAGTAGCGTTCTCATGTTTTTATTAATTATTCAAAAATATGCAATAATTGGTGTAAAATTTTAACTGTTATTTAAACAATATATAAAACTAATAAATAGTTGCTTCGATTCATAATTTCAATTAAAATTATAAAAGTATTATTAAGAATTTGATTCCATTCTTCATGCAAAGCACTCTCTAATTATATTATTTTGCAGGTCTGGGACATTATCTAATACACCTTTCCAGTTCTAACAAATGTTGGTCTTATTTGTGAAAATCCAACGCAAAACATTGTGAATAATAGTTTAAGGAAAATAAAAGTCTTTACAAGATCGCCAGTGAAAAATCAATTTTTGAAAATTCTCAATAAACGATCGTCTCAACTAGTTAGTAATAATTAACATTCATTTGAGAACTTCTATAAACAATTTAAATTGATTAATTTCTAATCTAGATGAGGAGTTAATAGGTTAATTAGCTGAAGAAATTTATTAGTTCGTTTTAAACTTTTTATTACTTAAATAAATAAAAGTTATGAGTATAATGGGTATGTTCTAATTATGAAGACCTATAATGAGTCTTCTAGGATGGTTCAGTCATATGAATATAAGATCCAGGATTGCTAGGAAAAGCGCTATTCGTTTTGATTATTACAAGAAAACAAATCCCAAAGGTACAGCCCAGGCATTGGTTAATGATGAAATTCGAAAACAACTTTCCAATATCCTCCATCATAATCACCATAACCACCATAATCACCATATCCATCTGGTATTTCATTTTTCTCTTCGAATTCATCCTCAGAAATTTTCATCACTGCTCTCTTCAATTTGGGATTTGATTGCTGTGGCCAAGGGGAGTTCTAAAGGAATTAGTCAGCATCACTTACCTCAGCTTTGATTTCTTTTTCGACTCTGTTAGCGATGAGGCACTTAGGAAGAAAAGGAAAGGTCACTGAAGATTTCTGAGCTGCGTGGTCACATCTCGTGCTGGCGCAGTAGATAATATTTCGTCTGTCATCCTGGGATATTATGATTGTAGTGTAATCCTCTGAATATATATATGTTCACATTCTCTGTAATAAAATTTATCGCGTTTATTATTAATAAAGTTCGCCCATATCGGGCTCTTCGCTGGCTTTATTGCTAATGCCTTTTTTTTTGGTAGAACTAAATGATCGTTCCGTTACCATGTGATTTTGCGAACAATGGTAATAAGCCACGATTAATCAAAGTTTGCAACCTTGATTTATTGCGTTTCGTCATTAGATACACTCTAACAATAACTGTATTTTCCTTATAAAAACAGGCCTCCCAATTTTTTGATTTTTCATATTCGGTCTATTTGGTCGTAATGACAAGAATCGGATATTACATTCTTCTCTGTTGCTGTTCGCCACTTTTAATTATTTTATTATTGACGTTTCTTTTTACTTTTTTCTTCGAGGGAATATTACTTAGTCCAATTTGGCTAACCGTATTTTTAGTAACACTTACGTATTTTGGATATAAGTGGATAAGGTATTTTCGTTATTCTTTTCCAAATCAACAAAATGCCGTGCTCACAAAAGTATTTCTTAGGGAAAACCACTTCAAAAAAATGAATTTTCCAACGGGATTTTCTGAAGAAACGAAAAAACAAGTCGCTATGTGGCGTGATATTATTCAAAATAAACATAAGGATGATGACGATGAATTTTTTTGTACCGACCCATTATTAATCATTGAATATAATCAACCGGGTCTCATAAGCCGAAATATCACGGAAAATAACGTTGGAGCAGGTATAACCATAAATATTTATACTGTAATTTATTTCAAAAGGCTTTTCTAACTTTATTTCTTGGATTAGTGATCAGAGGAACTCCATACTATACTCCTATCGCATATCCAAAGGCAAACCTGACACAATCAAATTCTGTATTCGCATTTAACGATATGCAGACAATGGAGAATGCTATCACACAATTATATGATAACTATCATAATAGTGTTATAGGACGAAAAGATCC